TTGGTTGTGCGCAGTCAAACAAGCATTGTAGGAGAGTCGTCAGCGATAATGTCGATTATAGTTTGCACTTGAATAGTAGTATTGTGCATTCTTCGTGATCGGATATAGATTAGAATGCCTCGACAGTGATGCCGGGTGGGGTATGATATTAATGTTGGTTTCCGAAGCTCCTGGCTCGCATACTGCTGCTGGTAGTAGCAGTTGTGAGGTTGTTAACAGTGTGTATGCAAACTACTTGCACGCATGCACATGTGTATCATTTCAGTATGTTCCTGCGTATTGTTGGGCGAGAATTTGAAGGATACTGTGACCAGCAAGAAAAATGGTGAGTGGCATTTGAGTTGTAGTGTGAGAGCTTTTGCAATGAACTTTTGATCGATTGATCGGGTGCTACATGCGCCCTCATTATTTTGCACTCGCATAGTGAATATGTTATTTTCGAGAGAATACATCCTCATGAGACTCTTTAGTAAAAATGGCTGTGGCAAGAACTTGACGAATATTGGTACGTTTCGTATAGACCTGGGGATCTCATCGTGAACTTGCGGGTTGATTTCTTTGGATGGATGGTGGTTTGTTGGGCGGCAGAAGGTGCTCTGATGGTGGCGCGATTTGTGGAATTGTATATCGTATTTCATGTTTATTCATCACGATATATACTATATATGTGATTATAGAAAATTTTATGTGGTCAGGTACGGTACTTCATATGGCGTGGCATCCGAGGAAGTTAAAAAGGAAATATTTGATAGCTGGAGGACTATGGAAAAGGGTAAGGCAGAGATAAGATAATCATACACTCGAGTGATGCGGAATTTCAGCAATTTTTTCATTTTTTTCGGGACAACGTGAAGCTTTCTGTGGAAATCGCTGAAGAATGACTCTTGTCACATGCAAAGAGGATGAGGATGTGCTGTTCGAGTTGAGGGAGTTAATCTCGCTCGCCAGAGTGTATCAAAAACAGTCGCTAATGTGGGGTATCAATCTGATACCCGGTCAGTTGTCTGCTGAGCTTTACTTGATGAATACGAAGCTCTCGCCATTCGAGTTTGCCTAGAGATATACGCTCGGTGTACATCGGTGGGAGTGGAAAGTTATATGTGGTCATTATTGGTAGATCTATCAGCGGCTGTGGAAGATGCAACGAAAGGTGGTATGGCTCTGCCGAGGAGGAATCCATTTATCGCGGAAAGGCTTGATGTCAAACTTGAGGGTGGGTGTTGTACAGATTGTGGCGATTCCGTGCTGGGGAACTTCTGTCTGCGGTGATTTTCCGATAGAGACTTCCTGATTTTCTTACTTGCTTGAATTGTTTAAGGACTTGATCATTCTATTCGAAGCAAATTTTATTTTCATGCCTTCGTAGTACAAAAGTTTGTACCAATTCGCTGGAGCTTTTTCCAGTGTTGGAATATATGTTCGCTTTCCTCGGCGGGCTTTAAGAGTTTCCTCGCTTGTTATAGAGCTTGGGGCGGAAGTGTTCAGAAACCAACAAGAATTTTTATCAAAAATTTCTCAGAATTTCCATATCATCACCAACACACATAGTTGACCATGTGCATATTTTCCCTTTGTTTTTTCTCGCGAGAAATGTGATTCTTGTTCAGAAGAATATCCGAAAGATTTCTGGCCAGCACCGGAAGTTCTTTCTGACTGTGGTTCTAATGTGAGAGTTTTCTTCAAGCAGGATGGCCGCTTCCATATACCCAAGACTAACGTCTCACTGGTGAGTTGTCTGCTGTATGTTCATGCGTGCTGGAAAATTGGTGATGAATTTTAGACACTATTTGCGCCTTATGCGTTGGAATCCCAACGTCGTGCATTGCAAGTTGCGGCCGCTGGTTTGTGTCGGACGGAGGAGCTCAATGAGATGTCCTACGATGCAGAATGCGCCGGATTAGTGTAAGTCACTGATAATCGATCGCGTGATCGATTTGTGCAAGGTATCGATTGGCTGGCAATACTGAGGGTCTCCGGATATCCGTATCGGGATATGACGATAAGTTGGAGTTGCTGCTCAATAGAGTGTGTCAGCGCCTCAGAGACGACAAGCCTATTGACGAGGCTGTCTTTGAAAGGGTAGGAAGATGTGATTAGTCGGCTGTTTGTTACGCTAAGAATTATGTTGCATGGAATGTGTGATATGATTCGGCAGGTTAAAGATCGCCTCTTGCAAGGGTTTCGTAATACTATCAACCAACGTCCTCCTTACCAACATGCCATGGAGTTGATCAGATCACTCACTACAGTAAGTTAGGAGGATGGGACGGCTGTGGTTCGAGTATGATGCCCATCTTCATCACGTGTGGGGTTGATGTATTAGAATAGTGTGACTGATTCGTATGAGTGCCCGTTTGTGAACTGAGACAACTAGACGAATGCGTGTCGTTCTCGATGAGTCGGAGATGAGCAACTACGCATGTTGTAGGGTTGTGGAAGATGGTATGTTGTTCGCTTGGCTTCAGCGCCCTTACCATCGTCTTACTACTTCGCTCGACATCGCATCGGAGTTTACGACTGCTGATGTTAATGGTGTTATCAAGCAGCTGCTGTCGGAGGGAATTGTCATTGAAGGGCTCATCGAGGTAGGGGGGTGATTCGTGGTATTTTTCATCGGATTTAATCACGCACGATTTAGTTGAATTCGATCCGTTGACGTGATGTAAGCGGTATCATTTTCATATGGGTTTTCGTGATGGATAATATGTGTCATAATCGTCACGTGGATCTATTGTTTTGGCCTGCTGAGTAGGGAGAATTTCTTTCAGGGCAACACTCGGGCCGATGAGGCGCGTGCAATAGTGAAGGAAGCAACTGACATGTTTAGTGTAGCTGGAAACGGGAAGCAGCCGATAACACGGAGGTATGTGTGCCAATACAAATACCTTAGAAGGGGAAATGCCTAGATCCTTGAGTCAACTTCGTTGATGGGCTGTCGTTGTGTTAGAGCGATGGCGGACTTGAGCCAAGCACAAGAAGGAGTGGTGGTGGATGGTCACAAGGAGTTCGTCATCACTCGACCAGGTAGGTTTGGTTTTGGTTGCCGCTCCCAAGCAATCGGATTGTAGCACTAGATTCACCGGTTGAGGAATAGGTGGAGTAAGTTCCCAGCGACGTGCTGGACTTACTCACTATCACTCGAGGTGGATCATCATCTTAGTCACCATGTGTGTGATATGGCAGATTGTCGTTATGAAATCAATTTGACTGGAATACTCCTCGAGCAACATCTTCTGGCTACGTTTTCAGGTGCGAACAAGGATGAGAAGAATGGCGCGGTAGTGATGACTCTGCATCTTGGATGGCAGAAATCTCCCGGTGATACAAGTCCTCAGGAAGATGCCGATGATGTAAGTTGGGATGGGGAGGTAGCGCTCGCTAAGAAACAACTGGCAGTTTTCCTGATGTTGCATCCGAGGTATCTACTTGCGGGTTGTCAACTGGGGTATCCGATCCAATAGGAGGGCGATTGGCAACTGAATGATGGATGAATTGTCAATTGAATTTTAAGTGCGAGATTTGATTGTATGGGAGAGCGGTGTTAGGGACAACTTGGGCATTAGACGTTGTTCATGGTCAGATTCTCCTAAGCTGTCGAGGCAACGTCTTATCCCAAATACTGAGTCAAATGTTCTTCGACTCATTGAGAACTAAGCAACAGCTAGGGTGGGCGGGAGAGAAGTCGCCTAGTGACTCCATCAGCTGTGTGATAGCTTCGAAATCGCATTGCAATCGGTTAGCGGTTTACTCAGGGTGGCCCAAAAATGGGAAGGAAGGACCATTCTTCCGATTCTCGGGAATTTTCACCTGGGAAGAATGACATTCTTCTCTGATAGGCCACCCTGGATTCGCTGGACGATTCTGCCTTTTTTGAATCATCGTGGGTTGGTACTCCTTCACCCGATCTTTCATATTCTGCAGCATCCACTTTTATATTTCCATGCCGCAGTCGTTGGTGAGCTTCTACGGACTACAAGTGCAATAACCCGTGGTCTCTCCACTTGTCGAGATTGGGGTTGATTATTTCTTTTGCCCTGGAAATATTCGGGTATCTTGCGATGGACCTCGATATGGCAGCCGAGCATTTTCTAGAAATTTCGTTGTCCGAACCATGATGGAAATTCACGCACTCCTGGACATCTGGCATAATGCCAGTGTTGCCTTCTGAAGTCAAGGAGGGCTTCATTGAGAGATACCCTCGCTTTTTTGAATTCGGTCGGTGATTCCCACGGGGGGTCTCTGCAAGTGGTAATCCCCACCAGAGGATCATCTGGCGCTTGCAGAGTGCCAGCGAATAGTGTGATCCGCTTCATTACCGGGTCCCTCGCACGCTGATTACGGCACACAAGATCATAGGTATGACTCTGCGGGGCATATGATTACAGTTGCCGTTCGAATATCTACGGTCGGAGAGAATCGTTATAGGTTATAACAAATTGTGATGTAAGCCGTGGCTACATGGCTCAATCTACACTATCCTAAGCCGGGTTGGCACATCACGGCAGATCAGTGTCTTCCATTTGATGAAGAACTGGAGTCGAACTGAAGTCGCCAGCAATTCACTCATTTCTTGACATTCCAAGAGGATCAAGACAGTTATCGGTATGTTTGTTGCTCCTGTAAAAGGGGGCGAATCTCGGATGAATCAAATGTTGTAGTCTGCAAGGAACTTCCCGGAAGAGAGATCCCCTGCAATTCCTTGTGATTGATTGGTGACTTTACTGTGGCCTTTAGAGGCTGAACCCGTTGTTGAGTTCCAGCAACCTGCTCGGACAACCTAATCCGCAGCCACTGACTGGCAGTCAGTAGCAGCTGATCGAGTGTCTTTTTGGGCACCAGTTGCTTTCCTATTGAATATCTACGAGTTCTGCTCTCGCTGCTTCTTTTGTATATTTCATTCGCTTTGTCAGTTACATCGTCCAGTCCTCCCTGCAGATCGTTGAGCGTGCGGTGAGCATGTTGTTCTTGGTACAGTCTGAGGTTAGCGTCGTAGAAGTCCAGAAGCGCATCGAGGAGTTCGTTGCCGATATCCCAGAGAAGGTGGGCATTCTGTCAACCAGTGGGAGCGGATTTCCCGAATTTCCGGAATGCAACTCCTAGGCTACTCGTTCTAGTGAAGAGAGTGGAAACTGAGATATCATTGCGGTTAAGCACCATTTTGCCAACTCTTGAAATTGGTGTCTTTACACGATCTCGCAATGTCGACTCCTCGAGAAGATACTTGGAATCTTATCGTTTCTGCACTAGACAATCTCAGTCTGAGATTCTCAGATATCTTCCCTCACTAACGATGAGTATCGTGATTACGTCCAGGCTGTTGTTGACAATCTAAAGGAAACCCCCAAGAAGCAGGGTAAGTGTTAGAAGCAACAATTCTTCACACATTCAGGCCATCGGCGTCATTGGTATCATCCTCGTCTATTTCAGCGGACGAGTTCAACCGCCACATGGTTGAGATCTCAGCGAGACGGTTTGATTTCGAGCGTCGCCCTCGGTTGATCAAGGCCATAGAAACCGATCCCGAGATAAGGGATAAGCAGAAGATGGTGAGCCCGCCGGATCACGGTGTGTGATGATGACCCGATCATGGTTCAGGTCGACTATGCACGCACAGCATTCTCCACGGGTCCTCGAGTTTGGGCTAGAGTCACTGGCTCGGCCGAGTCGCTCCCGGATGAGCTCTCTGACGCCGAGGTTGATTCAATTCGTGATAAGCATACTTGGGTGGAAAGCAACAGTTACTTCTGATTGATATGATCGGGTTGATAGATAGCTGAATGTTTCTAGACACCATTATTATGGGAGTTGAGTTGGCAGTTTTGTCGATCATAACCGTCGAGTTTTTGAGCCTTCGGAGTAACTCATTGACCACTGTTTGTGATGCCAATCCAATCATCGCCTCGGATCGAACGGTATTATACTGGTTACGGGAGTGATAGTGATACGACAAGCGAAGGAAAATGCCTTGAGTGAGTGCTCTAGTGAAGGGTTCGTTGATATGTATGATTCTTGTAGGGCAACAGAGGGGTCGGCAGTGCAAGGAGAGGGGAGTGCGTTGGACAGTCGGACCAATGAATTCACGGCGATACCGACGACACCGGAGGAGTATCTCACGTTGGTGAGGCAACAGGTTAAGACCGGCCCCAAGGTGGTGGCGATCGCTAAGGAGGGAAGGGAAGGTGGGTTGGCGCTTCTGCACTGTACATGCCGCAACTCGGAAAAATATGCTATGGTTTTTTGGAAAAGTTGATATCGTGGGATCGTTGAGGGGAATGTCTCCGAACTGATCGACGTGCTGACACCCGGACGGAGTGTCTATGTCTAGAAGCTCATTCGTTTCAAGAGCTCACACGGATGACATTAGTCATCAGATTTGGCTGCCCCTGAAGTAGCAGTGGAGAACCTGCCGACTGACACATCTCTGGAAGTGCTCGGTGATAGGCTGAAATCGTCCGAAATTGTCCAAGGAGTTCTGGAGTAAATATATGACCTACTCTTTCGCACACATCATTTTGCTCACGTCGTTCAGTTGCTTTGAAGCACTCCGAGCCCGATTGGCAACCTTGCGAGGCGATGAGAATGGGGACCTAATGAAGATAATGAAGACTGTCCAATTCGACGATACGCTACTAGATTCAGTAAGATGTCGAGCACCTGGGAAGCCGAAACTGAACGCTCCAATTCTAGACTAATTAGCCGACAGCTTATTCACAGGGGCGTCTTGCTTTCAGGCCCCATCAACTGGAGTAATCACCTCAATGGCGCCTTCGAGTGTAGTTGAAGCGATCGAGTCTTTGGTAAGACCATCGGTCTCCTCTTTGGTGCCTCTGAAGCTTCGAAGTGGAGTCTTATTCCGCAGTGTCGGCTTGTGCTCTATGATGGTATGTTTGCTGTGTTGCTAGGTGCAGCGAAAAGTGCCCGAGGAGAAGGCGGATGCATGGTTGGATTGGGGATTCTGCTTGCTCGCTGCGCTAGATACTCCCCTGCTGGACTGCACCATGAGCTCTCTACAGGTCGGCTCGTATGAGGGTGTGTCACTGCTTATCGAGGTTGCCGTGCCAGGTGCTCAAGAGGCGGTGTGTAAACCTTGCTACTTCCGCGAAGAGTGGAGAAGAAGTGCAGTGTAAAAGCCTGATATTAATCGTTATCATACGAGGTTTCTTTGGACAATGCTAATCGATATGGATGTGTTGTGTAGATTGGTTTAGCTAGGACGATGAAACTGTGTGGCGAATCAGGAACACGGTAAAGTTATCGTGGTATGTTCACTAGACTTCTGTACGGCTGGTCAGTGGCAATAAACAGCTAGAAATGCACACGATTCAGAATCGTGACCTGAAGAATCGTCGATTCTTCAGGTCGCTTTCTCTCTAAATATCTCATGTCGTGCTCGGTTAGCGACAATACTATTGAGGAGAGTGTCCGACTCTTCTATTGCGAACCGATCTCAGTGAACACCCACTTCCTTACGTACGACTGATCTTCAAGTAGTATATTTGCATGTTATAGTGATGCCTTTGGTGATCCAAAGAACTTGGATGACTCCCATAACGCTTTCCTAGATGACACGCCTATATTACAGGGTGGTTCAAGAAAGAGTCCGCCCCTTGTAATTTCCCGACAAGTGACAGTTCGTGAATAGGAAAGGTTCTGCTCGAAAGCCCTCATAGAGCTCTCTCCAACGCTGTGTGAACGGTTCTGATATCCGTATTGTGCACTGAGGTCTCGTCAAACGCAAAATCTGCTACATAGGGAAGAGCCGTACTGGTTCTGACTCATCTAAGATGAGCATCAAGATGCCGGGGAACTCCTCCGTGGAGTGGGACTGGCAAGTCGTGGTCCTTCCTCAAACCTGTATGAAGTGCCATGTTATTGGCACTTGTGCGCAGCTGTCTCCCATTCG